AGTCATGTCTCTCAAGTCTAAGTCAAGTCTCAAGTATATTTGTTCGTTTATTCGGATTCACATGAATCTAAAAACGATACCTACAATGCTTATAAAGAGTATCATGTGTGTACATGATTACGCAAGCTACTGACAAAGGAAAAAGCATCACAACACAGACACAATTATACACCAAACCATTCACCTAAGCTCATCAATGTTTGTGTTATTATTCAAGTGTTTTTTTAGTAGGCTTTTAAAACCGGCCTTACTGGGTGCTTCAGCAATACAAATTGGTAAGTTATTCCACATTTTGATGGCTATAAACATTACAGATCTGCACACCGCATCAGTCCTGGGTTTTTCAAAACTAGACAACCCTTTGTAGCATGCTAAGTACTATAAATATGTTGGTTTCTTACATACTTTATTTGTGAGTAGAGACAATTCGGTTGTTTCCTATAACAGATATTCCTAAAGAAAATTCATAAGGTTGCATGCCAACCTTTCTTCCACTCTAAGCCATGAGAGACTGGTATGCACACTGTCCGTACTCAGCTTCACACCCGATGGACAGGCCAGTGCGAGTCTTGCAGCTTTATTATGAGCTATTTGTAGCTTAAACAGATATTTTTGGCTTCACCTGACCAGACAGGTGAACAGTAATCGAGGTGGGATAAAACTAATGCTTGTGTCACCAGCACTTTAGTGGCAGGGGTAAGAAATTCAATTCCATTACCCATTTTCTTAACAATATTGTCAATATGTTTCTCCCAAGTTAACTGGCCATCCAGTGTAACACCAAGCAAATTTACCTCTTGTATCTGTTCAGTGTTTGAGGCTGTGAGTGATAGGCAGAGCTGATTCTCACCATTAGTGGCATGTCTAGACCTGAACAAGATACTTTTGGCTTTTGTTACATTTAAAACAAGTCTGTTTTCACAAATCCAGTTCACTACAAGTTGTAATTCCGAATGAAGTGTATTTCTTAGTTCGCTTATGCTAAAGTCATGAACACCAAGTCAAAGTCAAGTCGAGTCTTTTGTCTGTTTATAGTCAAGCGAGTCTCAAGTCTTCAAATTCATGACTAGAGTCTGACTCAAGTCAAGTCATGTGACTCGAGTCCCCGACCTCTGACAAACAGTGCTTGCCCTCTCTCATTTACCACCACTGAGGTGATTTCTGCATGCATCTGTCTCCACTTTGTCTGGCTTCATCGTGTATTTCCTTCTTTGACATATGAAGATTCACGCTCTGTCGGCTCTTGTGCTAAATAATACTTGTGGTCCTCCATTTGTCCAAATTTCACTTAGGCCTGATAAACCAGTCAACTACTATAAGAACAACATAATAACAAAACATGCTCTGAATAGCAGTCTCATCAGCAGGTATTTGTAAGCTTTTAGCAGATAAACTCCATATCCGTAATGCATGGCTCTTTTTCTGCTGTTGACATCAGATCATAACAAAATTTTCAATTCTCGTTCCAGTGTCTCTTTCTGGTTTAGAGTCTCAGATAGAGTCAAGTTCTTTGGGAATCTGTTCTGTGCAGCAGCAGAGAGAGAGAACAGCAGACAGGAGAGAAGATACTGGAGCTGTTATCCACAGTGTGCAGATATCAAACATTCCCTCTTAAAGAGAGACACATGGATGAAGATGATAACAAGAAATATCAGTGTGGTTTCCTGCTGGATCTGTACTCCCACCTGAAGGACTATGAGACAAAATCAGGCCTGAGGGTCCTTCCATCATTACAGTCAGTTTTCCAGTCAGCTCCTGCAGTCTGGTCCATAAACCTCTCAGAGAGAAAGACCTCCATCCTCCTGGAAGTGCTGAAACTCCAACCAGAGAAAAAACCAGTGGAGCTGACAGGCTGCTCAGATGAAGAGAGTGAAGTGAGGAGTTTCCTACAGTGTCTGCCTTATATCTCACAGTTCAGGTAAATGAACATTTTGCTGTGGTTAAATTGTAAGAAACAGTAAATGTAAATGCTCCGTATTTGTATAGCACCTTTCTAGTCTTGAAGACCACTCCAAGCGCTTTTTACACTACATCTGCATTCACCAGTCATACACATTCATACACTGAGCCTAAGTGCTCAAACCGAAACTAACATTCACACAAATTCTGTTCCGCCAGTGGCACTTTGTTAATGATATGAAATGTAGAAAAAAAACGAGTCAGTGTTGAAAGCTGGTGATTATAACGGTGATGAGAGGATAGACAGGGGCTATCCTTTTGAGCACAAGAAGAGAAAATAACTCAATGACAGTGACTTTCGGGAACAGCAGTCAGGTAAACTTGTGTCCTCTTTTCTGAAAGTCTGATGTGAGCAGGTTCATGTGCAGCTGCAGGGAATCTCTCTAGTCCGTCTGTCCTGCTACCCAGCAGGGCAGCTCTGTCTGTGTCTTGGTAGCTTGCCAGACTGAACAATATTAGAGTGAAATACAACTGTTTATTACCTTTGATAAACGCAGACAGGCAACAATGTTTATGAACTGCAGCATGGAAATGAACTACGTCGTGCATGAACATGAATGAACCACATTTCTTAAAGTGTTTCAACATTTTGAGCTCTTAATGCTTTTTATTTTTAATCCCAGCATGTGATTGGTCATGGATGCTGGATTGGAGCTCATTTATTGGCTCCCCTGACTCTAATATAGCCAAGAAAAGAGCTGTAACTGAGCTGGATGTTTGAACAAAGAATGATTAAGAGGAGCGAATGAGAAGATTTTGATCAAGTGGTTTATTCTTAATATTGAAAAGAAACCACATGTTATCAGGATGTGATCAGGAAACCACTAGAAATCCTAGTTATGTTACACTACTACTGTACCTTGACACATTGCTGTTATAATGGCAGATGAATGGCGCGCTACAAAAAACATCAACTGACAGACTGAATTGCAAACTCACAGTGGGAGGTGGGGGGAGGGTATGGACAGAGGTGTGGACATGTTATAAAAACTGTCTCTGTGGTTTATCAGTGAAGCAGACTGGAGTATGTTAACAGACAGACAGATACTGTCTCCTCTATGAAACATCTGGGTTCTCACTACGCTACATTATTATTAACTATGATGAACCGGTCGTGGGTTACATCTCTCCCCTACACTGGTTTCTTTATTTTGCGTTTTATTGAGTGTGTTCTTTAACATTTTACTTTCATGATTAGAAAGGCTGCTGTTAGATATTTTAAATGTTTCCATGTGCAGTAAAGTCACAGCAAATATTGTGGGGCGTTTAAGCAGTGAAACAAATAATCCATAGTTACCTGCCGATACAATTGCCACCATTTGAATGGGGAGTACTGGCACCTTTTTTTCCACTTTAAGCAATGGCCTGACCAGAACAGATTTTTAATCCTAGCACTACAATAGACACATTGATGGGTGCATTAGTAATTTAAACAACATGGGCGCTTGGCCGGAAAATGAGAATTGCGTCGTTTGGAAACTAGCAATAACAGTTGAGCTGCTCTTTGTGCCGGGTGCAAGATAGGGCCCTCAATCTTTAATACAGAAGTGAGGATACATCTTTGTAGACTGACTTTCTTGCTTCCTTCAACACTTTGTCAAATTACATAGAAAAGATCAGACCTCTCGACGCCCGTGAAACTTTTCTCCCCCAAACAGAACAAAGTGAACAGAGCACCTTTGTTTATAGTGTAGAAGTAACGTTAGTTGTCGGCATGTCGTCGTGTTAGCCGGCAGATGATATTACTTCTACAGGCAGGCAACACACAGCAATATACACAACAATTGTGCATGCTCTCTTTGCAACAATCCACAACAAGCACATTGCGGCAAACTCCTCTTACTAGTGGAATCGAAAGTGTCCTGTAGACAGAGCTGCTGAATCACTAACGGTGTCTGAACGGGAGGGCTCGTCACAGATGAGGTCATCAGGTGAATTGTCATCAATTGGGTCATTTTATTTACTGTGAAATTATTATCAATTCATTTTACTGATAGTTTGATTGGGGAGGCCTTCACAAAAGGGCCTTTACAAATTTTAAAATAAATAAAATGAAGGAAGGCGTTTGAAAAAAGCAAAGGGCAAAAGGGCAGGTGCTCAAGCACCCATTGCACCCCCCTCTGCACTTGTCTGTCCCCCAGTTTCCTGTAGTATTCAGCAAACCCTCCATTGCCACAGGAAACAGCCTAACTCCACAAGAGAAACAAGAACAAATAAAATATATTACATTCACTACATACATACATTAAAGGATAAACATACATTTATGATAAATGAAAACGCATTAAATAACCTTAAACCATTTACATTTACATTTATTCATTTAGCTGATGCTTTTATCCAAAGCAACTTACAATTACTATACAGTCAGAGGGCGTACGCCTCTGGAGCAACTGGGGGTTAAGTGTCTTGCTCAGGGACACATTGGTGGATGTGTGGAAACCTTTAATCCAAATGAAGGTCTTACCTGCTACTCTGGTGAGGCTTGATGAGGCCTCATCGTATGGACATTTAGTTCCACATGCATCCACCGGTCAAAATGGCTTTCTATATTCAGCTTATGTTAAACATCTTCATATAACAGTTATGAATTTCCATATAGTTAATGATTTTAATACATTCCTCTCTGTCTGGGAAACCAGAAAACCAGAATGATAAATCGGAACTTGGCCCGGACACAATCAGTCAAGCTAGTTCATGTAAGTCAGCGTGACCTGGTGTTCCCTGGATTTGTTATTTCTGATGCTTGTTTCTTGCCAACCACCTATACTCTGCCCAATCTCTCTTTTTAGTTTGCCTTAGACAATTATACTTGTTGGCAGTAAAACTTTAGATAGCTGAAATTCACTCTAAGAACCTAAACTAACCAGTCTTCCCACTATATTTTGTTTCCATATGTGAAATGGTACTTTGTAGACTAGATTTAATGAATTAATTATTGAATCTGAATCTGTTTTATTGTTTGCAGTTACTTTCAAACGTACACGTGACAAAGGTTATTTCCTCAACATAATATCATAAAATGTTAACTCTTGTTCCAGATTCTCTCAGCGGTTTAGAGGCTCAGGTGCAGTCAAGTTCTTTGGGAATCTGTTCTGTGCAGCAGCAGAGAGAGAACAGCAGACAGGAGAGAAGATACTGGAGCTGTTATCATCAGTGTGCAGATATCAATCATTCCCTCTTAAAGAGAAATGGTGTGATTTCCTGCTGGACCTGTACTCTCATGATCCTGAAACAGGGTTGAGAGTCCTTCCATCATTACAGTCAGTTTTCCAGTCAGCTCCTGCAGTCTGGTCCATAAACCTCTCAGAGAGACAGACCTCCATCCTCCTGGAAGTGCTGAAACTCCAACCAGAGAAGAAACCAGTGGAGCTGACAGGCTGCTCAGATGAAGAGAGTGAAGTGAGGAGTTTCCTACAGTGTCTGCCTTATATCTCACAGCTCAGGTAAATGAAATGTCAGCAACAGAGACCATCACCGTTGTGTTGACGATGAGGAGTTCAGTTCTTCTTCAGGACCACTGATGTTCTTTTTTACTGTTTTACAGCTTTTTGCTGTGATTTAGCAAATCTCAGGGATGAAGCAGTAGTTTCCTGCATTAAAAGATGTTTCCCCTCTAAGTATATCAATGTGTTAGTGTTGACTAACATATTGATTTTAGTGGAGCTACGACAAACACACTGATATTAATGAACCACATTTCTTAAAGCGGTTCACATTTTGAGTGATTGGTCATGGATGCTAGATTGGAGCTCATTTATTGGCTCCCCTGACTCTAATATAGCCAAGAAAAGAGCTGTAACTGAGCTGGATGTTTGAACAAAGAATGATTAAGAGGAGTGAATGAGAGGATTTTGATCAAGTGGGTTATTCTTAATATTGAAAAGAAACCACATGTTATCAGGATGTGATCAGGAAACCACTAGAAATCCTAATTATGTGACACTAGTACTGTATGAAGTTTCATAGAGTTTTACAGAATGATGGATGTTAAAACTTGTGGTCCAGTATTTCAGCTTTGGAGCTATTTGATTAATAAATGTTTTGGGTAAAGTTTTCCTTTCAGCCACCCTGTTGGTTCAGGAGTGGTATTCCAGTATAACATACAATCTGTAATACAGAGTAGAGGATACACCTTTGTAGCCTGACTTTCCAGCTTCATTCAACATATTGTCAAGAATTTAATTTAACAACAGTTTTCTTAAATCCACATATATCCCTGTTAAAATCATTTTCCCTTGAGTTTCAGGTTGATTAATTTTTGCTTTATTCTGCTCATCAGCAGGTATTTGTAGGCTTTTAGCTGATAAACTCCATATCAGTAATGCATGGCTCTTTTTCTGCTGTTGACATCAGATCATAACAAAATTTTCAATTCTCGTTCCAGTGTCTCTTGGCGGTTTAGACGCTCAGGTGAAGTCAAGTTCTTTGGGAATCTGTTCTGTGCAGCAGCAGAGAGAGAACAGCAGACAGGAGAGAAGATACTGGAGCTGTTATCATCAGTGTGCAGATATCAGACATTCCCTCTAAATGTCAGATACATGGATGATAGTAATAAACACAAATATCAGTGTGATTTCCTGCTGGATCTGTACTCCCACCTGAAGGACTATGAGACTAAAACAGGCTTGAGAGTCCTTCCATCATTACAGTCAGTTTTCCAGTCAGCTCCTGCAGTCTGGTTCATTAACCTCTCAGAGAGAAAGACCTCCATCCTCCTGGAAGTGCTGAAACTCCAACCAGATAAGAAACCAGTGGAGCTGAGAACATGCTCATATGAAGAGAGTGAAGTGTGGAGTTTCCTACAGTGTCTGCCTTATATCTCACAGCTCAGGTAAATTAATTGTACTTCACATGACTTCAGTGGACATTTCTGGAAACTCACTGTTAGTTTGAAGGTGAAGGTAAAGTGTTCAGGTGATCAGTCCACATAAACGTTATATCACTGTGTTTAGTTTTATTGATGACATGCTGTTTTATTCTACGCAGCCCAATGTGTTTATTCCTACATTACCTAGAGTTCTGTGCAGATCAAACCCCCCTAGCAACGCTCATTTCCCATGAGCTGATAAATGTTGTGATACTGGATTGGACCCGAAAGAGACGATTTTCTTGTGGTTCAATTTCATTCTTCCTGACTAATCAGTGGATATCTCCATCTTGCATATTGTTAAGCCGTGTGAGGTCCCTATTGAATTTGCTAAGATTATATTTAGGGCCCGAGCACGACCGTGTGAGGTCCCTATTGAACTTGCTAAGATTATATTTAGAGCCCGAGCACGACCGTGTGAGGTCCCTATTGAATTTGCTAAGATTATATATATATTTTTATATATTTTTTCTGCAAAGTAGGCTCAACTGACATGGCCTAAACATACTCGAAAACTCACCAAAATTTGCAAACATGTCAGAACTGGTGAAAAATTTTGTATTCTACAAGTTTCGCACATGGGTGTGGCAAAATGACTCGCTAGCGCCACCTAGAAAATTGGAAAAGATTAGCCCCTCGTTCACGTTCAACCTACATGTACGAAATTTTCTGGGGACATGTACCATATCAAGACGCACAAAAAAAGCCTCAAGAACCCATAGCCTAAAGTCAACAGGAAGTCGGCCATTTTGAATTTTACGGCCATTTTTGGATGATTTACACACTTCGTACTTTAACGAACTCCTCCTAGGGATTTAGTCAGATCACATTCAGTTTGGTGCAGATGTGAGCATGTACACTGGCGTCGATGATTCGCCATGAAACAGGAAGTTGTTGTAACTTCAGTGTACATGCTCACATCTGCACCAAACTGTACATGTAGGATGAGAGTCCCGCCCTGAACACATGTACATGCCGACATTCACCCACAGTCATAGCGCCACCTGCTGGCAACAGGAATTGACCTTTAACGAAGCAGCCCCCGCCGCACGTTTCACCTACGTGCACGAATTTTCTGTGGTACGTGTATCTTGTCCAGACGCACAAAAAAGTCTCTTGGAGCCATAGCCTAAACCCAACAGGAAGTCGGCCAGTTTGGATTTTTCGTCAAATTTTGGATGATTTACACACTTTGTACTTTAACGAACTCCTCCTAGGGATTTAGTCCGACCGACTTCAAATTTGTGCTGTGCCTTCTAAATGCATTGAAGATGCAAAGTTTTGCTATTTGCGCGTTATCGTCAATGGGTGTGTCCGTGGCGTGGCGTCAAAGATCAAGTCTTCGCCATGACACAGGAAGTTGTTGTAACTTCAGTGTACATGCTCACATCTGAAACAAACTTTACGTGCTTGATAACTCTCCCACCCCGCAGACATCTACACACCAATACCGATTTATATTCATAGCGGCAAGTGCTATGTAGCTCCACATAGGGGACACAGGAAGTGACATATAGCACCTTCATGGGGCGTCGGAACCGCGTAGCAAATTCACAGCCGTACCGGCAGAGCTCCAGAATGTGCAACTCGGCCGGCTCACACCCGGACACGCTACAAGTGCGAGGGCCCGCACAACGCTGCTTGCAGCTTTAATTCTAAATATTTCTATACTAAATTTGTGCTAAAAATGCCATGCCAAAAATGATTCATACCCCTTGAAATTGTTGCATTGTTTTCAAGAAATAAGTTTCCAAACCATTTTGGTCTTTTAAGTTCTACCATGACAGCGTATTATAATCACCTATAAATCACCTATAAATTGTGAACAGCTGAAACAGTAGTTCTCTAGTTAGTAAGTAGTCAACTGCAAGTCATGCCTAAAACAGTAGAGCTTACTGAGGACCTCCAGTTGCACATTGTGGCTGCTCATGAGACTGTGAAAAGCTATAAAGCCATATCAAAGTTATTTCAGGCGGATAGTGGCCACAGTACAATGCATAATCAAGAAGTACAACAAGTTCCACACTGAAAAACCTCAAAGGGAAGAAAAGGAAGCCAAAAGTGAGCTGCGCTTGCAAGAATGGTGGCCAAGAAGAATCCCCGGATCACCACCAAGGCCATCCTGAGATACTCTGGACACACAAAAGCTTGCCTAGCCCTTGCAAAAGTTCACCTGGAAAAAGAAGAAATATTTTCATCATCAATTGAGTTGTTTGGACACAGGGACAAGGCTGTTGTTTGGTGAAAGAAAGGAGAAACATTCAACCCCGAGAACACCATCTCAACAGTCAAGGATGGTGGTGGGAATGTAATGCTTTGGGGTGTTTTGCAGCCAATGGGCCAGGCAACCTTGTCAAAGTAAATGACAAAAAAAGAGGACAGAATATAGATTTTGGAGGATAAAGGCAGGAAAAAAATATATGGTCTTCGGAAGCACTGGATCAATCAACAAGACAGTGATCAGTAAGATACTGTCAAAGTGGTCAAGAAATGGTACAAAGACAACAATATCAACATTTTGGAGTAGCCCAGACAGAATCCAGACCTGATCCCGTCGAGAATCTGTGGAGGGAACCAAAGACCCGAGGTATGACAAAGAGGCCTTCCAACCTCAAAGACATAAGATCATCGCAAAATCCCAGTGGAGACATGCAAAAAGATTGTTAACAATTATATGAACTGCTTAATTGTTGTAATGGCTTGCCATTAGTTACTGAGAAAGTTTTGTTAAGTAAGTATGAATAATTTTTGACATGGGATTTATAGTATAAATTAAAACATACATATACATAGTTAAGATTAATCATTAACATCTCTAACACTAAATGTTACTGTCTTTGTCACTTGTTTGTGTCGTTTTCAGCCAAATGAAACTTATTTGTAAAATTAAAATCCATGTGATGACGTATGGCACATGCCCCAGTCTAAAATCCTAATCAACATAGAAAACACAAAAAGTATACCTAAATCTATTAGAGATTACAGATGAAGGGAGTGGGAACATAATAAGACATCGGCTAGAAAAGTAAGGGTGTAGGAAACAGGTTATCTGTACTTGTGGGTGAAGAAAATATATGGTAGAAGGGTGTTTAAGGGAAACAACTTTATAGAGTTAGTTTGGGCATAATAAAATTTGAGTCATGTATGATACTTGTGGGAGTGTTAGTAGAAACAAACCAATATGATGGATGATTGAGATAAATAAATCACAATGGATAAAGAAGGTCGACACTGATGATGATAATAATAATAATAATAATGATAGTGATGGAGTAGAGGATTACTGCTACCAATGAAAGAAAGAAACGGAATATACAAAAAGAACAATATACAGTGTATATACATACATATAGACAGACACACACATACTTACAGTAGCTCACAAAAGTGAGTACACTCCTCACATTGTTGTAAATATATGATTATATCTTTTCATGTGACAACACTGAAGAAATGACACTTTGCTACAATGTAAAGTAGTGAGTGTACAGCTTGTATAATAACACATCACACAGCCATTAATGTCTAAACTGCTGGCAACAAAAGTGAGAACGCCCCTAAGTGAAAATGTCCAAAATGAAAGCGTGTTTACTAGAGTGTGTGTGTATGATCCTAATGCTGTTTATGTATGGGGATGTACATAGGTTGTTTGTTTGTATTTACTGTGGCACTAAGTTGGTGGCAGAGAGATGTAAGAAATTTTGTTTGATTCAATATGTTTTTTTTGTTTGGCTGAGATTTGTTCCAGCATTACATGTTCCGTTAAAAGATTTAACCACTATGGAATATTGAGTGGTTTTCTATTCTTCCAGTTGAGTAAAATAGTTTTTTGGCTGTAGTTAGGGGTACTAGAAGGGGTGTTGTGATTTGTTTTTGTGATGTGTCAAGTATATCCGAATCTCCTAGTAGACACAGTAATGGGGATAGGGGGATGTTGTATTCAAAGAACTGTGATAGTTTAGTGATTATTTATTTAATTGTTTTACTGGTGTGCAGAGCCATCTTGTATAGATTTTTTTGACATGTTGAAGATGTTTTTTCATAGAATTCATTATTAGTGCTGAAGTTGAGATCTTTTTCCCATTTATTTATTGGGAGAGATTTGGTGGAATCAATGGAAGACAGAAGTTTATATAATTGTGATAGATGTTTGTTTGAATTAACAGTTTTATTGATGGTGTTTAATAGCGATGGTGGTTGATGGTTGTTATTGGATATGTTAATATTTGCCTTAATTGCGTGTTTTAATTGAGTGTATTGTAATTATTGCCTTTTATGAAGACATTTACATTTACTCCTTTGGCAGACGCATTTATCCAAAGATACTTATGTTTGAGGAACAACATACAAGCATCAACAAAGCATCAATACGGCACAAGATCTAGAAGGATCGTAAACTTGTATTATGGAGTTTAGTCACTCTGTATGCAGCATTAAGGGGCTTGAATTAGATTTGAGAGGCCATAGGGAGCCAGTGGTGGTCAGTGAGTAATGGAGTGACATGAGTCCTTTTGGGCTGATCAAAAACCGGACGGGGTGCTGCATTCTGAACTAAATTTTTGCATTAACTGTTGGAAAGTAACTAATGTATTATTTTTAGTGTGGTGTAGATGTGTTCTTCCTTTTTCCTTCCATTTAGTGCCTGTCGTAGCTGATTTGTTTACTACAATACCTGGGTTATGCTAAATGGGTGTATATTGGCTAGGTGACATTGTGTAGTTTGTAATTTTATTGACTTTCCACTAGGCTGACAGAGTTGTGGCAACTATGGTATTTTTAAAGCAGTAGTGTTTATTAATAGTTTTGCTAAGGAAGGGTAGGTCCTTGATTGCTATTTGTTAACATTCCGTTTGTTCTATATTTAGCCATGAATGATGATGGTGGGTATTATGAGTCCATTTGGTAATATATTGGAGTTGGCTGGCTAGGTAGTAGTGCTGGAAGTTAGGGGCCTCTAGCCACCTTTGAGTTTTGGGCAGTGTTGGGCAAGCTACATGGAAAATGTAGTGAGCTAAGCTACTAGCTACTCTACATTAGATGAAGCTTCACTACACAGAAGCTACCCCCCAGTGAAATGTAGCAAGCTAAGCTACGGCAACGTGGCAAAAGTAGCTTAGTTACATCTAAGCTACTTTGAATTTTTTAAATTTTATAGTAAGGTCATATATACTGATATACTGATAAATGTAGAACAGTTTTTTGCTTGAAGGACATAAAGAAGTTGAAGAAATGTGAGAAAGTCCCCAGTGTTGTGAAGATATGACCTGAGATCTTTAGAAAGGAGTATGAAGACTTGTAAAAGTTTCGAATGGTGTAATTACTATAGTAACAATTCGCCTTACACCAAAACAGCAAGGGAAGCTAACCAAGGTTACGGGCGGATCTGATACCTGCCTAGGAGATTACAATCAGCAGCCTGCTTACCTTAGTTAAACAAGCCCTACCTAAACCAGATAAGCAATTAACTTGCACCTGTACGCACTTGAAAAAAATTCTATATTAACGAAAAAAGTCCATAGGATGGGTTTCACAGCGTGTATTTAAAGATATACCAGGTTATACCACGGCAGGCAACACTCACAGATAGTCGCTGGAGGCTCGGCCGCCCTCCGACACATCAAACAAACATTACAGACATTATCATCATTTCTGACATACATTCAATTCACCCTCCAAAACCCCCAATGTCCCAGCAGTTCAAATGTTCATTCCAATAACTTAAATTATCCAGATGGAACCAGATTACCTCCAGTAAGAAGAAGAAGGAAAAAAAACAAAACAAAGATACCAGGTGAAGCGTGGCGAGCCGCCGCAGTCCATAATATTCCACAGTTAACTTCCACTACCTCGCCCCAGTCTGTTTATCCAATGGGATGATTCCGCAGTCCAGAAAAGTGTCAACATATAATCTGGCAAAAAGAGTTGCTTTGTCCGATTGTTGAGTTCGTCTGGCAAACATTACACAGAGCCCACTAAACTCAGACCGCTCCACCTGTTGCACTCCAGAGTTCCCCCCAAACGTCACTTCCCACTCTCCTTTTAAAACCTACCCCGTGGCAAAACAATAATGAGTGGGAAAAAATACATACAGAAAGGTCCTTCAAGGTCAAACAATCCGTGATACACCACAGGCTTCTGATATACAGTTGCTTTTTTACACATGAAGGCAGAACCAATACATATAAAAGCATGTTTACCAACACATTAAAAGCTGTACCTGAAGGCAGAATAGGTGACTATTACAGTATGAAGGTGACATAAGCGCATCAACACCCACTGAAGATCCTAAGTAAGCAGAAGGACTCCACAATGTTACGTATGAAGTTGCACAGATTGATAGGTGTGGCTGAGCTCTTCCTGGAATACCCGCCCATCTCCACTGTCTTCAGAGCACTGAGGTCCAGATTGATCTGGCTCCTCCAGATGATCAGTCTCCCACCTGTGGGCAGACCCCCCCAAAAAAAAAAGATGAGCCCAGTGAAGGTGGTGTCCTCTGCACACTTTAGGAGCTTGGTGGTTTGGTGAGTGGAGGTGCAGCTGTTGGTGTTCAGGGAGGAGAGCAGAGGGGAAAGAACACGGTCTTGAAGGGAAAAAGTGCTGATGGTCCTGGAGTCAGAAACATGTTTTCCCAGGTTCACGTGCCGCTTGCTGCTGGACAGTAAGTCTGTGATACACCTGCAAGCATGATCAGCTAGGAGAACTTGTCCTGCAGCAATCCACAAACAGGATCCTGGTGTAGTTTGCTGGAGAGTCCAGGTGCTGGAGGATGTAGTGAAGGGCCATGTTTACTGAGTTGTCTGCATTACATCATTACATCATCTCAATCAGCTGTGTGCTGAGCCAGCATTCCCAGGTTTCCATGGCGATGCTAAAAGCTGTCTGACTTAGACAGGCTTAGACAGCTGATCTCGTTGAGTTTTAACCTGAAGCACAGCTCTGATTCTCCTGCTCCTATAGAACAGATTGTGACTCCCAGTGCCAAAGTAACCAGATTGTTAGAGAGATAAGATCCTCATAAAGATGATGTCCTAGATTTGTGTGTCTACTGTCAAAAATGGCTTCACAGCAGCAGTACAGAGTTGTCCACATTTCTGACTCTTTCCTGAAACTGCAGCACTTTTTTAGTATAGGAGTCTATGCGGCAGTTGGTTGGCAATGCTCCCACTTCCAAGCTGACTGTGCAAGCTCTGTAAGTCTGACTGCTTTCAAAGTTACACATCAGCGGCAGAACAAGTTTTCCTACGACTTGTGAAATAATCATGTATGTACTGTGAAAATTGTGGGAGATACAGCGAGTTGAAGACAAGTTTTTCAGAATATTTTGAAGTGAATTCCCACTGTGTCAGTTGGTCCTCTCTAGTCCCAACATTCCGTCCCAATCGCTCCCATTATAAACTCAGAAAATAGGATGAAAACGACATGAAACTTAAATTGACACTGTGTGAAAAGTATAAGAGATGTGAAAAAGTTGAATTCACTGGAAAGAGTCCAAAGGTTTGTGAACGTTTTAAAGGTGGAATGGCGTTGCTACTTGAATGTGTGAATTGGTGGGAAGAGGTTGAAGATCCGTGAGTTTGAATGATTTTCTCATTGACTTTCATTATAACGATGTTTCAAAGAAAGTTGAATAGACTGAAGAGTTTGAATAGGATTTGAAAATTGAATAATACGAAGACAGAAGGAAAGATGTGGAATCTTTTCCATTTTGAATGGAGCTTCTAGCTGAAAGTATGAATAAGTAGTTAACACTTGAAAAACACTGGTAAAAAAAACCCCCAATACATTGTCATAGGAAAGTAAGAATTCAGAGTCAATATATTGGGAGATAAATGTACAGATGTCTTGCCAAAAAGTGCAGAAGTGGGGACAAGACCAAAATAAATGATGCAAGTCTTCTTCAGCCATTTGACAAAATGAGCAGTCCACATCAATGTCCTTTTTATATCTTCGTAGAAATACCTCGGAGGGATAAAAGCGATGCAGCATTTTAAAAGATACTTCCTTAACCTTATTTAAAATTATATATTTGGAAGGTAGGCACCAAATTTTTTCCCAGTCCAGATTTGGAGTAAGGTTATTACAATAAGGAACAATATTTGGAACAGAGACTATTTATTTTTGAAACAGAGTACGTATAGATCGGTTATTGGTTCTCAAGTTAGAGGAGAAGCAGATCTGGCCAACAGTCATCGTAGAAGGATCCAGTGGCAAAAAAGTTGGTAGGGATACTATATGATTTTTAAGGAGCATTAGAGCACCAGAAGGGATTGCATCAAAAACTAAGGCATATTCCTTTGGCAGTATAGGAATACCATACTTGTCTAGAAGTTCGTAGTATGACAATAATTCACCACTAGAACTGAGGAGCTGTAGAACCAGATAAATTCCATAGGTAAACCAGTTTTCCAAGAACAATGATTTGTGTTTATACAGAATGTCTCTGTTGTTCCAGATGTAGTATTTGTGCGGGGAAATGTTGTGTTTATAAACTAAGGACCAGGAAAGAATTTGATAACTTTAAGGGGATTTTTTCAACATTGTAGCTGCAAAGTAGGAGGAACTTAAGACCTCCAAGCTTTGAAAACAGCTAGTTCAGAAGAAAATTCCAGATTGAGTTTGGATTTTTTAAAAACTGTTTATCCAATTTATCTTAAAGGTATTGTTGAGGGTGGATAAGTCAAGAAAGTTTAGACAACATTTACATACATCATTAATACTGATTTTCTAACATAATGGGTTCTATTTTTCCATAATAAGTTGAATAGCAGGTTATCGATGACCGTAGAGGTCCATTTGTTGACATCTAGAGATAAGGTTGCATAAGTAAAATGAGATATGCCCTCAGCTTTGGTAAGCAAAATTCTTCCTTTAAGAGATAAGTCTCTTTGAAGCCATAAATTAATTTTTTTCTGCACCTTTCCTACCACTGGGTTGAAATTGAAGGAGCATCTGGTGTTGTTGTTTTTATTGATAGCAAATCCAAGGTAGGTGACGGACTCTTTCACTGGAATGGTAGAAATAGACATAACATTGCAGCTTTTGAGGGCGAGCAGCTCAGGCTAACTGATATTTAAAAAAAGAGAGGAGGCTTTAGAGAATGTCTTAATTGTATAGTAATTAATAGCAACTGAAACCTGTGAGGCATCCTTTAAAAATAAAGTGGTATCATCAGCTAGTTGACTAATTATTATTTCTTTTCCAGCTATTGTGATACCTTTCAAGGGGCAGGTCTTAATAAAATCTGAGAGTAATTGAGCACAGATCAGAAACAAGTATGGTGAGACAGGACACGCCTGCCTGACACAGCACTTTAGGTAAAATCTAGGTGAGGTGCCTGCATATAGTTTAATTTAGCAATTTGCATTCTTATACATGGTTTTAATGGCTGCACAAAAGTAAGTCCCAAAGCCAAATTTATCCAAGGCCTGTAAGAGAAAGAAGTGTTCGACTGTGTCAAAAGCCTTGCGGAAATCTAAAAACAGTATATAGCCATCATCATCAGTAAGATCAGTCCTATCAAGTCATATAATTAGAATATCATCAAAAAGTTGATTTATTTCAGTAATTCCATTCAAAAAGTGAAACTTGGATATTATATTCATTCATTACACACAGACTGATATATTTCATTTGTTTATTTCATTTAATTTTGATGATTAAAACTGACAACTAATGAAAATCCCAAATTCAGTATCTCCGAAAATTAGAATATTACTTAAGACCAATACAAAAAAAGGATTGTTAGAAATGTTGGCCAACTGAAAAGTATGAACATGAAAAGTATGAGCATGTACAGCACTCAATACTTAGTTGGGGCTCCTTTTGCCTGAATTACTGCAGCAATGTGGCGTGGCATGGAGTCGATCAGTCTGTGGCACTGCTCAGGTGTTATGTGAGCCCAGGTTGCTCTGATAGTGGCCTTCAGCTCTTATGCATTGTTGGGTCTGGCGTGTCGCATCTTCCCCATAGAACCTGAACCCCATAGATTTTCTATAGGGTTCAGGTCAGGTGAGTTTGCTGGCCAATTAAGAACAGGGATACCATGGTCCTTAAACCAGGTCCTGGTAGCTTTGGCACTGTGTGCAGGTGCCAAGTCCTGTTGGAAAATGAAATCTGTATCTCCATAAAGTTGGTCAGCAGCAGGAAGCATGAAGTGCTCTAAAACTTCCTGGTAGACGGCTGCGTTGACCTTGGACCTCAGAAAACACAGTGGACCAACACCAGCAGATGACATGGCACCCCAAACCATCACTGACTGTGGAAACTTGCCTCTCCTCTCTTCCTCCAGACTCTGGGACCTTGATTTCCAAAGGAAATGCAAAATTTACTTTCATCAGAGAACATAACTTTGGACCACTCAGCAGCAGTCCAGTCCTTTTTGTCTTTAGCCCAGGAGAGACGCTTCTGACGCCATGTCTTGTTCAAGAGTGGCTTGACACAAGGACTGCGACAGCTGAAACCCATGTCTTGCATACGTCTGTGCGTGGTGGTTCTTGAAGCACGGACTCCAGCTGCAGTCCACTCTGTGAATCTCCCCCACATTTTTGAATGGGTTTTGTTTCACAATCCTCTCCAGGGTGCGGTTATCCCTATTGCTTGTACACTTTTTTCTACCACATCTTTTCCTTCCCTTCGCCTCTCTATTAATGTGCTTGGACACAGAGCTCTGTGAACAGCCAGCCTCTTTAGCAATGACCTTTTGTGTCTTGCCCTCCTTGTGCAAGGTGTCGGTGGTCGTCTTTTGAACATCTGTCAAGCAGTCTTCCCCATGATTGTGTTGTCTACAGAACTAGACTGAGAGACCATTTAAAGGCCTTTGTAGGTATTTTGAGTTAATAAGCTGATTAGAGTGTGGCACCAGGTTTCTTCAATATTGAACCTTTTCACAATATTCTAATTTTC